AATGTTGGGAAATAATAATTCACAAAAAGCAATAGTTTAAAAATCCTTTAAATGAGAGGCAAAGGAAACCAGAGGGATATACATACTCAAAAGTTAAAAAACAATTGACAACGCCATGGCAAAAAATAAAACCGAACACAAAATATCAAAGGTAAGTTAGTTCAAACTCTTTAGTTATGCTGAAATAAATTCCTTTACAGTAAGAAATGAACATGCCAAAGTATGTGCAATTTTTCCCAAAAATATTTTATGTATAACAATAAGGAAATGTGGTATGGTTGCAGATGAGAAACTATCAACCATCAATTAAATGGCATTGTTGAAAGCAACTATATGTCACCATTTGGTATTCAGCAATGAGCAAAGTTAGCTATAAGTGGGCAACACATGAACAAAAAGAATAGAAAAGAATGGTGAGATTTATGATATAAAGATTGAAGGAAAACCAATATGACCCATAGGTAATCAATTTCATTCTGAAAAGCTATTTTTTAGGTTTAACAAGTTGTTCATGCATTACAGATAACTTCAACAATCAATATGTTCACAAACTAAAAATAGCCTGATCGTGTCTGTAACTTATCTGTTCACAGGCATTACTGCCCAATATGGTAGAGCAAACAATATAAATAAGAAGATTTTATAGGAGCGCCAATGAGACAGGATTGTTTTAAAGACTTTCAATCAAAATTGTATATGAATGTTATTATGTATATATATTATAACATTACTCTACATTCTGTATGTCTGACACTCTAAAAATCTCAGAAAGTTTTAGAACAGTGGAAATTTTTCAAGAATTTATTATCACTTCTAAAGTTAAGTTAAAGAATTAAAAACCAACAGAATGAAAAAGGCTGTGACTACCATCACTTGTCAATTAAACAAATTTTTCATTTTCCTCCAAATCATCAATCTGTGATAATCATTGCAACAACAGTTAATGCAACAGTTCAAAGCACATATTTGCATGAACAGTTATTGTCAATGCCTAGAGTATCAGGACATCTTCTGGGTGTAACATTCACCAAGGTCAATGTTAGCTTAATACCCAGTCCCCAATCATGTATATCAAATAACTGAAAATGCCAAATGTGCAATCTACTGTAATAATTACATTAACTTCATGCAGGCAATGAAAACCTTACTTCTTTATTTCTTTTACCTTTGAAAGTTTTTACAATGACACTAGGCTAAACACAATTTAAACATGAAAACAATAATACATTTTTGAAAAATTGAACATTATTTTTTCAATACCTGTTGGTTTTTACATTTTGGAGTTGGTAGGTCCTCTAAATATTTAATTATTTCGTCGTCAATTACAATGGCTTTGTCTCCAAATCTTGTTTTTTGTTCTTGAATTATGCTTGTGAGTCCATTAATAATGACAACACAAGCATTTTCAACTGTCAGAAAAGGAAGAGCCTGTAAACACAAGTTTTCATGTAAGAATGCACTCAAATCTTGAAAGATAAAATAACACTCATGGTCAATTTGGGGATAAGATTTTTTCAGTATTTAACTGAACACACAAATAACAAAACTCTTAATATCCAGAAATGAATTCTCTATTTCTTTTCTATTAATATCGTTGTCTTCTGACATATTGCTGTCATAAAAACAATGTCAATGAATGAAAAAAAAAGAAATCAATTAAAAAAACTACTGAGCGTTGAAGCTATCAATTGTGAAATATTTATTATTAGAACATGTCGATTCCCTATTGAAAATTAAAATGATAGAACTTGAACAAAAAATATTCGGATTGTTTACTTATTTAAGAATTAATAAACTAAAAGTTTGACAGCATATGAGAGTATCGGCATTTGCCTGTATAATAACGGTTTTGCCGTATCCTGTTGGCAAAACTACAGGTACATCCTTCTTCTTTTGGCATTCTGCTATTGCTGAGGTTTGTTTATCTTTTAAAAATAAATATTTAGTTGTCATTACTGAGTTCATTCTATTTAAAATCACAGAAACGTCGTCTACAGACGCAGACAACATTTTTAACTGGTACCGTTTATCGACGTAAACAAACTACAGTACAACCTGTGACTTCCTCTTAGTTATGTCCACCCTCTTGTATGGTCACCATCGAATAGTGGCCATTTATTGGGGTATTCAATCTTGAGATGTTGGCCATTTATAGGGGTCATAAAACATAGGTTGATGTTTTATCTAATTATGTTACCTGTTGAAATCAATGAGGGTTGAAGTTTTCAGCTTGTATGTTTCATTAAAATTTACCTGTACAGGTAACTCAAGTTTCTTCTCAAATTTACATTTCACCTTTTCTTGAAAATGTAGAATGTTTGTTTTAGTCTTTGTTAATTCATATCATTTGTTGTTTTTTCTGTCTTTAAAAATTTACATATTTTCCTTTTTTTCTAATGTTTTTATTTTTTTTTGTTATTATTATCTTTGATTTGTTTTTTTTTTTGCTTCTTATTCTTTTAATTTCTTCTTGGAAAGAATCGAGTAGAAATGACAAAAATTCAAAGATAAATTATTGACTAGCATTTGAAAACAAAAGAGAGTATCCTTTAAAAAATTATTTTTTCAGTAAAAAAAAAGTTATTGTACATGATGTACATGGTATTCTATTGTTCGTTTGCATTATTAAATGAATTATTATTAATTATAACTTATAAATGCAAATGATATGTTTAAAGGAACCATGAAGCAAGTAATTTAACAAGCCAGTTTATTCACAAATTAAAATTATCAATATCATGAATATCAATCCTTTTACAATAAATTTTGTTAACAAAGTTGTACAATCTATTATCATGATTATTATTCAGGAAAACTACAAATATCATTATATGGTATAGGATTAAACTATTTTTGTTTATCTTTGATACTTTTCAAATCTTAAAACGAGTTTTGCATGAAGAATCACTAAATAGACTTACAAAGAAATTATTTAAAGAAAAAAATTGTCTTGCTTTTTGAAACAATTGTAAACTTATCAAATATGTTATCTTCAGTTTGGCTAATTTTGTCAGTTAACAGGCAAAATTTGTCTCCAGAAAAAATAAAGTACACTTCTATTTAGATTGTGACATTTTTATGGTCAATTAATTAAATCACTTTTTGTTCTGTGTATTATATTGTCGAAACTGCAGGACTGGCATATGCATGATACATATTCTTGGTATACATTTGCAAAGAATATTTCACTCAACTCAGGCCTTTTAGATAAAGTTAATAATTGCAGGGACTTGAATGAATTAGATTCTTTAAGGCCCTTGAATGCTTGATTAAAAATGAATTTAAAAAAAAAAAAATCAGAATATTTTTGAAAATAAAATAAAAACTTATGATGAAAACAGTACACTCAAATGCTTCACTAAGTAAAGAATAAGTGGTCATAATTTAGAAATAGAAAATGGTGAATGAAAATTCCTATGAAGGATAGAATTGTTTGTGAAATTAATATAACAACTTAGAGATAATCTATTTGAAAATTGTTTACCTTCACATAACTCTGACCAGTTTATGAATAAAATCTTGAATCTTATGAATAAAATCTTAACCAATAACAAAAAGTAAAAGAAATGCTAAACCTCTATAACATGGAACATGTTTAAAATATTGGCTCCTTTATAAAAGAAAGTCATTTGAACTGAGGGCAGAAACCTAATAACTTTTGTCCATGTGTTTTGATTTCTTATTGAATTGTTATTTCTTTGCATTATAATGTTTGTTTTGGTTTTTTTTGTCAGAAACTTGATTAAATTGTAATATGTTTATATGACAATAAAAAAATTATCAATTTTTTCTGTAATGAACATGATGAATATTTTGAATATACATGTATTTATTCAATAGAGTAATAATGAATTGCCTACATTTTATTTAGAATAAGTCCTAAAGATAATCTTAAACATTTGTTAAACAATGTTAAATGCAGTAAGTATAAACAATTTTGATTTTAGAAAATTAATTTGAGAAACACCTTTTCAATGGAAAAAGGCAGGCGTTGTGAAAGTTTGCATTATATTAGAAGATGATATTCATATATTATTCACTTTCCAAAAAATACATGTAAAAAGTAACTTAAATTGATAGAATTATTTAAAAGTTATTACATCAAAACAAACATTTGCAAACAGTCATGAGAAAATTTTTACAAAAAAAAAAAAGTGAGGAAGCTGTATGTTCAACTAGTTTTATTATTTCATTTTATTTTAGAATTTTCTTGTCATAATCACAGTTATTAAATTTGACAAACACAAAAAGTCATTTATTTTCCCTGAGACACTTTACCTGTAAGTTATGTAATTTTAACACTTCAATGCAGTCATGATTTCTCTTTATCCTTGACTAGTTTTTGATTAATACCTTGTGTATTAATTAAGCAGCAGGGGGTATAATGATGGACATTTAGGGCCATCATGGTGACCATATTTTTTATGGCCACCATTAATAAGATAATGTCACAGGTAGTACTGTAGGAACCGAAACGTTCAAGTTCAAGGTCATCATTAGCTCATACCGACCGTTAATATTTGTATATTCCGAAGGCATACTGAATATTTTACGGAGGGGACCAACCTAGGATATGGCAAACTCCCCGGCAGTTCCAGCTCCGATCCGCATATAGACTGGTACCCGGCCGTTATTGAAATTCCTGACAATTCTTCAGTCTGACGTTTAACGCCATTTTCAACTGGTACCGTATGTGGACGTTCGACAAACCGGGAACCGAAACGTTCAAGTTCAAGGCCATCATTAGCTCATACCGACCGTTAATATTTGTATATTCCGAAGGTATACTGGATATTTTACGGAGGGAACCAACCTAATCCGCATACTACTCTACACTAATCACTGCCTTCGGCTTTTTTCGTAATCCGATCTTCAAGCTGTTTGACCCGTATTGACCTTTCGTTGCTACTGAAGCAAATATGGCTGAAAATGGATGAACTGAATGAGCTTTACCAGTATTTCATAAAACAATTTATCGTAAGCTAAAAAAAAATGCATACAATACAAATAGTATTAATAAATAATATTTTTTGAACTTTGTAGAAAATTCCTCGTCACAGTAGTAATGACAGTATGCAGTGGAAAATCATATATTTTGTTTACGTCTGTCGTCTGCACGATATGTGCAGCTGAAAAATATCGTCCGATCAAGGATTTGTATAGTAAACTATACAAATCCTTGATCAGAACACCGGTTTTCGTACATCATATGAATTTGTACTATGCATACATTTTTGAATGGAAATTGTGACGTCACAATGCATTCTAAACAGCACGAAAATCCATAATACGAGGTCGAGGATAACAATTATTCAGCCCACCGAAATCATAATGATTGCATATTGAACATAATCTTATGCACAGTCTTTACGATTTAGATCAAGACCGATGCCAAAAGTGGCAGATACAGGGGTGGGGTAAAGTATTCATGAATAAATCTCATGGTCAGGATTTATTTAAAATCGATTGACAGAAAATTTCACATCTGACAATCACCAATATAATGAGCATTTCATTATCAGAACCATATATTAAGGTGATGGTAATTTTTCCGGAGAAGTGGCTTTGGAGAACTGTTAACACATGGAATTTAAGATATTTCATAAGACTGATTTTTGGTCTTGAAAAACAAAATTGCACTCCAGGGATATCGTCCTGATTTTTAAGGAGGGTTCAAATATTGTCATGGCAAATTGACACAAGTTGTTACAAATAGGTTATTATAGCCAACTTGAGTGAATGGTTCCAACTATTCTTAAGATTAAAGCATTGTAAAGAGATATTTTTTTATCATACCAGTTTTGGTTAATGTAAAACTTCTAAAAGTTTTCCTTCTTAGTTTTACCGTTCTTATTAATACAACTTATATATCATAAACAATAGTTTGATACTCACATGTCTATCACTAAAATGTCCACTCTACACAACCGTGAACTGAAGCTACTTAGACTTTCAACTTTATGTAAAAAAAAATACAGAACAAAAATGGATGTATTCTTGCAATAAAATCTGTACTTTGAATATAATTCCATATGACAGTTCCATGCATTTTAATGTTTTTTTTTATGTTATAGATGTTGGAGAAATAGCTAGATAACATCTATACAGAATGAATAAAGAAAACAAATTATATTAGGTATTAGATTAAATTTTTAAATATTGTTAATGTTATTTGCATGAATTAATTACTTTAATTGATGTTTGTGAAAGATGATTTATTGTTTGGATATGTATACACAGAATATTTAAAACAAATATGATATAAATTAAGGATTTGTGGCATATTTTTAATTATTATATATTTATATTTTAAGTATGACATATTATAAAAAAGGTTGAATTCATTGTCATAAGTCAATATCCCCCCCCCCCCCCCCCTGGATTTTTGATCAGTTAAAAATAATTATGGTGCTTGTATTTCAACATTATTAAATTTTAGTTTTAGTTATACTTATCTTTATATTTTATTATAACTTTCAGCTACATCTACTAGAAGAACTCAATAAGCTAGCTTCATACATAATCATTGATTTAGTTTCTTAGGAGATTTTAACAGTAATTGCTAAAACTTGAGAATGACACTTTCAGAAATTCAGATATAGCTTCAGTATGCATCAATTGAAGTTGTTGATTGACCAGTACATCATACATAAGTGTAAGTATCTTTACTATGAAATTATAAATTGGTTTGTTCACAGTATAACAAACAAATCATACCAGTTTTACACAACATGCACAATTTAATTTCATTGAAAGTAAAATTTTGAATGACTTAAATGGGTATATTAATGAGGTATATTTTAGTAGATAAAGTAACATTATATTAGTGTTAAAATTACTCACAAATGTTTTTGCTTTACACTAATGTGGTGAGGTTAATTTTATGATCAGATTGTGTTTATGTAAAATCTGCATGGTAATTCTATTATTAAACTGTAAATATTATTATATATTTGGTACTACTTTATCCAGTAGTTTCCTTCAAATCAACATTATCAGCAGTTGACCTGAAATCAGAATGATATTTATATCACATATTAAAATCAATTTAAAGCAATATCCTGTTTTATTTTCTTCCATCACATATAACCGTTTTGAAAAATCAGAGGTTATAAAGTACAACACAATGTGTTCTAAAAATTCAAATTTAGGTGTAAAATGTTACTAGTAATGTGTTATTATATTTTCAGATCATCATCATTTCAACATGAATACGTTACAAGCCTTGAAAGCCTGAAGAGGACATACACACAAATTGAATAAACTTATCACCACAAAACAAATTTAAGACAAGACTAATGCTCTCTCAAAAAAATATGATTCATAATTCAATGAGTGAAAATTGAAATGCATACTAAATGGTTGCATTTGGAGTTCTGCACATTTTTAGATATTAATTCCTTTTCATTAATAGTTGTTTATTAAACATTGTTTTGTCTTCATAGTTTTATCATTACCATATTGTTATTTACAAAAAGAACACACACATTCCCCACGCTTTTATATAAAAATATGTGGTATGATTACCAATGAGACAACCGTCCACCAAAGTTAAAATGAAGTGGATGTAAGCAATTATAGGCAACCGTACGGCCTTCAACAATAATAAAAACCTATACCATATAGTCTGCTATAAAAGGCTCCAACAAGAAAAATATGAAACAATTCAATTGAGAAAACTAATGGCCTAATTTATAACAAAACAATTAACAAAAAAACAAATATGACAGACATGAACCAACGACAGCCACTGATCTACAGGCTCCTGACTTGGGACATGCACATAAAGAATGTGGATGGGTTAAACATGTTTGTGAGCGCCCAACCCTGCACCTAACATAGGACAGAGGTGTAACAGCACAACAAGACCAAACTATAAAAATCAGTTGAAAAAGTCTAAACTCATCTGATCGATACACAGAAAAACATAAAACAAAACCACAGATAGGACGTTAGTCAATCAATTACTACTGAACTATAAATATCCAATAATGCATATCAATGACTTTTTGGTACAAAACACTTCTGCATTGTACAACTCATATTCTGTAGTTCTGTTTAGATGATTCTCTGATTTAATCATTTTCCAAAGATTTAAGCATATGAATAAAAGGAGATGTGAAGTATAGGTCCATTGGACAGCATTCCAACAATACCCAAAAATAAAATGCTTCGCTGGGCGCAGCTTGATACGACCGCAGAGGTCGAACCCTGAACAGTTGGGGCGAGTATGGACACAACATTCAAGCTTGATACAGCTCTGAATTTGGATTGTGATTAAATATTTGACACAGCATAGGTTTCTGACACAGAATGAATGTGGTCTAAGAACTTAATTTTTTTTTATTTACCTATTATGGTCCAATAACCAAAATCTAAATACATGGTTAGATTCAGCATATCAAAGAACCCCATATATTCAATTTTTGTTGAAATCAAACAAAGTTTAATTTTGGACCCCAATTTGGACCAACTTGAAAACTGGGCCCAAAATCAAAAATCTAAATATATGTTTAGATTCAGCATATCAAAGAACCCCATATATTCAATTTTTGTTATAATCAAACTAAGTTTAATTTTGGACCCTTTGGACCTTAATGTAGACCAATTTGAAAACTGGACCCAAAATTAAAAATCTAAATACACGGTTACATTTGGCATATCAAAGAACCCCAATAATTCAATTTTTGATGAAATAAAACAAAGTTTAATTTTGGACCCTTTTGACCTCAATATGAACCAATTTGATTGCGGGGCCCACAAATAAAAAATCTAAATACATGGTTAGATTCAGCATATCAAAGAACCCCATATATTCAATTTTTGTTGAAATCAAACAAAGTTTAATTTTGGACCCCAACTTGGACCAACTTGAAAACTGGGCCCATAATCAAAAATCTAAATACATGTTTAGATTCAGCATATCAAAAAACCCCATATATTCAATTTTTGTTATAATCAAACTAAGTTTAATTTTGGACCCTTTGGACCTTAATGTAGACCAATTTGAAAACTGGACCCAAAATTAAAAATCTAAATACACGGTTACATTCAGCATATCAAAGAACCCCATATATTCAATTTTTGTTGAAATCAAACAAAGTTTAATTTTGGACCCCAATTTGGACCAACTTGAAAACTGGGCCCATAATCAAAAATCTAAATACATGTTTAGATTCAGCATATCAAAGAACCCCATATATTCAATTTTTGTTATAATCAAACTAAGTTTAATTTTGGACCCTTTGGACCTTAATGTAGACCAATTTGAAAACTGGACCCAAAATTAAAAATATAAATATACGGTTAGATTTGGCATATCAAAGAACCCCAATAATTCAATTTTTGATGAAATAAAACAAAGTTTAATTTTGGACCCTTTTGACCTCAATATGAACCAATTCGATAACGGGGCCCACAAATAAAAAATCTAAATACATAGTTAGATTCAGCATATCAAAGAACCCCATATATTCATTTTTTTGTTGAAATCAAACAAAATTTAATTTTGGACCCCAATTTTGACCAACTTGAAAACTGGGCCCAAAATCAAAAATCTAAATACATGTTTAGATTCAGCATATCAAAGAACCCCATATATTCAATTTTTGTTAAAATCAAACTAAGTTTAATTTTGGACCCTTTGGACCTTAATGTAGACCAATTTGAAAACTGAACCCAAAATTAAAAATCTAAATACACGGTCAGATTTGGCATAACAAATAAATAAATGTGGTCAAAGATTTTACAAAACTTATGCGCCATACTGTGCAATTAAAGATTACTTCTTGAAATTTTTCAATATTTGAAATTTGAAAAAAAAATAATATTTGAAGAATAATTCTTTTTAATTTCTGAAATCTGAAATGAGAATTACCCTCCCCCCCCTTCCCAAACCCCTATTCCCCAAAAAAATTCTTTCCCTCAAGATATGGTCATAATCTCAATTCAAATTTCCAATGGAATTTGCAACCATAATTACCCATTTAAATTTACCATAGTGCTAACTTAATCTGTTTTATAATAGAATTTAAAATATGGTGTCAAATCTTTCATATGGATTTTTTTGTAAAAAAAAAAAGATGCAACATTTGCAGATATTTTTACTGGTCTTCCTTTATAAATATGCATTTCTTTAAACATAATTTAAAAGCAGTGTAAGGGAAGTAATCAAAACGTTGTATGTGGATTACCTCCCTTACACTGTTTTAAATTGTCTTAATTGTTCATAAACCATTACTTTATACATAATTAAAAGGAAAGTAAGGGAGGTAATTTAAATGATGTATTTGATTTATCTCCCTTACACTGCTTTAAATTATGTTTTGAACTAAAGTATTTGTCCATATAAAAATGCTTGTTTTTTTGCCCCTTTTTTTGCCCCTAATTCCTAAAATTTTGAGGCAATTACCCCCAAAATCAATCCCACTATTCCCTTTGTGATATGGAACCTTGTGGTACAATGTCAGAGAGATCCATACACTAACACACAAGTTATGTCTGGAAGTTACAAAAATGCTTATTTTTGGCCCCTAATTCCTTAACTGTTGGTACCATAACCCCCAAAATCAATCCCCACCTTCCTTTTGTGGTATTGAACCTTATGGTAAAATTTCATAGAGATCCATTCACTTAAACTAAAGTTAGAGTGCGAAAACCAATGTGTCTTCGGACGACGACAACGACGCCAACGTCGTACCAATATACGATCGCAAAATTTTTTTGCGGTCGTATAAAAATAAGACTTTAAGTAACATAGTTTTCCATAACTCATTAAATGAAGACCTTCACAAATGAAATAACATTTAAAAAACATTGGAATTATAGGTGTGTAAAATTTGAACAAATAGGAAAGTATGTCATTCGGTCTTGGCAGTACCATACACTGCCGACTGTTCCTAATTGTGTTTTCTCATTGTTGAATGATCTCTTGTGAATTATAATTGCTTGAATCAACATATTTGGACTTTGGTGGATAGTTGTCTCATTGGCAATCATATCACATCTCCTTATTTTATATAGATATTGCAGCACGTCCATACTGTGTAAAGGGGTTCTGTTTCAATCATTGTACATATATCAAATTGCTCATAAAGTTTAATCCAAATCAAACTGTGAAAACATGTTTTTAAATAAAAACTTTGTATTAATAACTAATACACGAAAGGTTTGGAAGTGGTACAATACTGAATATAACTTTAAAGTTGGCTACTTTTACTAATTGGCATATATCAACGGTACATGCATATTCGTGATAAAAACCTGCCAGCCTCACAAGTCAATCATTTCTAAATAATTTGTGTTTGTTCTTATGTTGTTCTGTAACACAACTTCTTCCAGTCACATCTCGTCTCTGGTGGAAAGATGTCAGATTGGCAATCATACCACATCTCCTTGTTTTTATGTTGTCAATTAAGATATGGAAGTACTCCACAATTATTAATGAAAAAGAAAACATACAGTGAAACTTGACACTGATCAATGAAATATAAAAATGAGGTAAAGGACAAATGATACCTGCCAGACAGACAAGTACACTTAACAAATCATTCCATAGCATAAGAAAAACAGACAAAAACACAAAAACTAAACATTGACCAATGAACTGAAAAATGAGGTCACGGTCAGATGAAACCTGCCAGACTGACATATACACTTTAAAATCATTTCATACACCAAACATAGCCGACTTAATGCTTACAGTATCTGAGAAACAGACATAAATATCACTGATCCATGAAATGAGGTCAAGGTCACGTGAATCGTGTCCGACAGATATGTAGACCTTGCAAGCAACCCATAGACCAAATATAATTATCAAATTACTGATAATTGAGAAATTCATAATAAAACTTTATTTCTTTTCAAGCAGTCCCTGAACCATAAAACAAGAGGCTCTCAAGAGCCTGAATCGCTCATCTGTAATTTTTTGCTTAAATCTTTCCTCAATGATTACACTACAAACCAGTAAAAGTCTGAAATGGCCTATATTTGTACTCGACTGTACTGATTTTTACTCGACCAGTCTGAATTGGTCAGAAATTTACTTGATAATACTCGACTGTAGTCTGAACCATACTTAACAGTCTGAACATGTACTCGACCAGTACTTAACCATTTTATTTTGGTCTGAACCATGCTCAACTTAGTTTGAACCGTGCTCGACCTAGTCTGAACCATACTAGCCCTAGTCTGAACCATACACGACCTATTCTGAACCATACTCGACTAAGTCTTAACCAACCTAGACCTAATTTTTGTATCTATCTATTGTATTTCATCAATTTAGGAACTGTTTTTAACAGCTATTTCCCCCTGGCTAAAAATTTGAACAACAATTTGAAATTTAAAATGTATTCAATATGGCATTGAAAGCAAAATTTCACAATAAACATAATATAAATTCAACACCATATTTATCAACACTTACATATATGTATCACCTTTAAAATAAAAATAAAACAAGCTGATCAAATAATCTCAAAACTGAATTGTGACTAATATTTTCAATGTTATTCAAATTTTTTTGAATGTTTCAGATATATTTTATGGTTACTTGACAATTTTCACCATTTACTTAAGCCTTGTATAGATTTATGGTGTCAGTTGAGTTTAGTTAATAACGCAGTGAAAAAAAATATATTTAAAATAGTATATAATGCAACTTGATAAATTTTAAAAATCACACCTTTGTTTTGTAAAAACAAGAATTTAATATAATCATGATAATAGAACTTCCATAGCAATCCTTGATAACCATTTAAAAAAGGAAATGTTTTCCAAAGTTGCAGAAAAAATTTATTTCAATTTAATTTAAATAACTTTTGTCAAGATTAAAGACATGGCATACAAGAAGCACTTTAATAAGGTTTATTTACCTCAGTACATGTGTGTTTTACAGGTAAAAAGAAATCCCTTTTTTCTTAAACTCGTGTATTACTTATCTAGTGAATTCAAAAGGCCTTGCGATTTAAGTTTTACAGGATGTTGCAATTTTTAATGAATGTTAATTAGAAATTAATACTCTCTGACCAGGTGTGATCTTTTTAATGAGTTTGCCCTAAGCAGGAGGTATTACTTTATACTTTACCACTAATGAGAAGAAAAATTTTATCTATTTCTTTAATTTTTTTATCCCTTTTTGATATATTTAATATATCCCAAATTGTAATAAGAACAGATATATTTCTAATATAAGGTTAAACAATTTCAGTGATTTTTTGGCTGTTGTTACCTCATTAAAAAGATAATTATATAACTATTGTATGTAACCATGAAACCTATATAGTTTTCTTTAGGAATTAAGGAAAATTAAGTTTAAAAAAAAAAAACACATGCCAAACAAGATCGAGGTACCTTAATAAGGTTTTATTACCCTCAGTAAAGGTGTGGTTTTTAGTTAAAAGCAAATCTTTTTTTTAACAAAACTCTAAAACTTTAAAATAAATATAATTAAATTATTATATAAGATAATTTAATTCAACTATCTCTATTTGATAAATCTGAGAATCATGTAAGGATGTAAAAATATGTTTTTATATATATATATCTTTATTTTATTGTGGCTGTTGTCATGTCAGAAAAAAAGAAATTAATTTTAACAGCTAAAATTAAAAAAAAATATAGGTTTTTTGGTCAAGTATGGTTCAGACTGGTCGAGTATTGTTCAGACCTTTGGTCGAGTATGGTTTAGACTGAAAAAATTGGTCGAGTACAGGTCGAGAATGGGTTAAGACTGTTTCAGACTGGTCGAGTAATAGTTCAGACTATTTTCAATGGCAAAGATAAGGGTCAAGTACAAATCAGTACGGTCGAGTATGGTTAAGACTGGGGTCGAGTAATGTCGAGTAAAATTCAGACCAATTCAGACTGGTCGAGTAAAAATCAGTACAGTCGAGTACAGATATAGGCCATTTCAGACTTTTACTGGTTTGTAGTGTTATTTTTGCTTTTCAATATATATTAATGAGTGGCTTTAAAATGCCATTTAAATGTTTTTTGTATCGGTCATATTTTCTTCAAAAGCAAAAAGTATTTTACCCCCATGTACTATTTTAGCCATAGTAGCTATGTTTCTTGACGTACAAGGAAATAAAATACAAAATTTATACTTTATACTCTGAAACTCATTCAGCCTGAGTTGGGTTGAAATTGATTCAGCAGTTTCAAAGGAGAAGATTTTTTAAAGTAAGCAAACTAGATGAACAAATTGTGAAAAATTTTCTTTAAAGGGCAATAACTCCTTAAGGTGTCAATCGACAATTTTGGTCATATTAAATTTATTTGTAGATCTTAATTTGCTGAACATTTTTGCTGTTTACAGTTTATATCTATAATAATATTCAAGATAATCACTGCAAACAGCAAAATTTCCTTAAAACTATCAATTCAGGGGCAATAAACTAAAAATTAGATACCCGATTTGGCTGATAATTTCAGGGTAGGTAGACCTTGACATAAGGAATAATTTACCTTCTTGTCTGATTTGCTCTAAATGCTTTAGTTTTTGAGATATTTTCAAAACGGCATTTTACCAGATGTTCTATTTTTAGCCATGGCGGCCATGTTTGCTGAGGAAACAGAAAATAAAACACAAACTTTATTCTAGATAAACTAAAAATCATTCAGCTTAAGTTTGGTTTAATTGGTTCAGTTGTTTCAGATGAGAAGATTTTTTAGTTAGAAAACATGAAAAACAAATAGTGTAAAATTGTCCTTAAAGGGCATTAACTCCTTAAGGGGTCAATTGACAATTTTGGTCATATAAAAACTTATTTGTAGATCTTACTTAGCTGAACATTTTTGCTGTTTTCAGTTTATCTTTATCTATAATAATATTCAAGATAATAACTAAAAACTGCAAAATTTCCTTAAAATAACCAATTTAGTGGCAGCAACCCAACAATGGGTTGTTAGATTCATCTGAAAATTTCAGGGCTGATAGAACTTGACCTAATGGACATTTTTACCCGATGTCAGATTTGCTCTAAATGCTTTAGTTTTTGAGATATAAGCCGAAAACTGCATTTTACCCCTATGTTCTATTTTTAGTCATGGCGGCCATATTTTTTGACGAAACAGAAAATAAAAAAAAACCTTTAATCTAGATACACCTAAGGATGATTCAGTTTCTGTTTTGTGGGAATTGGTTCAGTAGTTACATCAGAGATGTTTGAAATAGTTTACAATAGACGGACGATGACGGACGCCAAGTGATGGCAAAAGCTCACATTTCCTTTTGAAAGGGGAGCTAAAAATGAGGTTACAGACAACGGGCATATGACAGACGGAAACTTTGTAACATAAGGCATCTGTATACAAAGTATAAAGCCTCCAGGTCTGCTACCCTCAGAAATATAAAGCTTAATACAAAAAGCGTACGGTGGTCAACAGTTGCATTCACTAACACCAACTCTTCAGAAAATCATTTCATTGGCAAACACTCCATACTTCTTATTTTCATGTTGAAAGAATAAAATATCCCATACACTCTGGCTTGAAGTTTTTTTTGTGCCAAGTGTCATGAAAAGCTACATAAATGTAGATATTATGAAACACTTATTTGTGTGCTTTGAAGCAAAAAAGTAACTCACCAAGCAAGTCCATAAAGTACAAGATATTAAGACATGTCAAATTCTTGATTCATGGAAAGACCAAAACAACAAGTAAAACAGTTTTACTTCCTCATGGATCCAATTGTAAAGTGGTGGGTTATGGTTAGTGGTATGTAAATGAGTATAGAGCAAATGCTTAGAAAGCACATAATGCTCAATTTAAAACATATTGTATCATTTGATTAAATTGCCATTTCCACAAAAAACCTGTCCTAGGAATTTTCTTTTAAAGTTTTTCTCACTAAATTTTCTCTTTTATTAGTATAAAATTGGTCTTGCATCATCCAAAAATGCAGGAAAATACGATTTTGATTAACAAATTTCTGGAAATATTAAATTTGCTATATATTTCTACTGATATAAGTTGCATACATTAAATAAAAATCCATGTAGTTCATCATATTTCATTTGCCAGGAAAATTGATAAAAATCAGTTAAATTGCTTGCTCATTTACATACCATTTAACATTTACACAGTAACAAAATAAAATATTTAAAAAAACTATGGTGACCTTACTTAAATTTTTATTTATAAAGTATATTTAATATGTTATAACTAATCACAATATACATTGAAAAACTAATTATCTGTTACAAATACACAGATGATAAAACTTTTTATTCCATTTTTTTCTTATCAATAATATTTTTGTTTCAAACAACTAAATTTCAAGTTCTTAGTATGCAAAAATATTATTCAACTTTATAACTGAAGTGAAAAAAAATTATAGGCAATTATTCTTCTTTCCTTGATCATCCTCAACCTCCAATTATATTCATCTTCTCAATGATTACCCGATATATTTTGTGGGTGGGGGTCAATCTACAAAAAAACAAAACCAAAAAACTTTTAATATCTTTAAGTCTTGCATACAACAAAAACAGTGGACTTAATTTTATTCTAAAAGGGGAACACCTGCGATCACCCCCCGTTTTTGATGTTGTGTTTTGTGTAATTTTGTTTGTCTGTTTGTCTTTTTCAGCCCTGATGTTGTCAGTTTATTTTTGACTTATGAGTTTGAATGTCCCTTAGGTATCTTTGGCCTCTTTTACCAATTCAATTAGATCTTTGAATATTGTTGTTATGGCATAAATATTAATTTTGTTATCAGTAAATTAAAACCTGACTAAATAGTATTGTTATACACATATCCACTTTCATGGTACCACAATATGTCGATACCTATATTTTGGCATTGCAGAAGGTCATGTTTTTCTCTGACTGTTAATGACGTCTTTACACTAAATCCATTGGATGTTGGATGTGTACTGATTGATATTTTAGTCTTAGATCTTAGATGTTGTTCATATATATGTTAATCATCTTTTTACCTGTATAAGAATGAGTTTTAGTGGATCAATTCAGTCAATCGAATGATTTACCCTTGTTTCACTTTCAATGTTGACATTCTTTTCCTTTTAATAACTGAACACACCTAATTCATGCCTAACCCATCTTTAGCTAAGGGGTTAAATTGAAGGTCACATGAATACGGATTCAATGAGGTTGAATGATGTTTCTTAGCTTATATTGACAAAATTGAAGCAAACTGGCTGCTTAAAGCAAATTATTACTTCACTATTTCACTTTCACATGTTTCATTAATGATTGAACAAAAAAAAATCAGATTTCATTTTTTTTTATATCTCGTAGCTAATGTGTTTAAGACATAAAAGTCTTATTTCATTTAATATATATACTTTCCAAACATTGGGCCATAATCATTATTTATCTGCACAGTTTCTATTTGTGTTTATTTTATTTTAATTTTAGGTTAACAAAATGTCTCTGACTCCAGTGAAAACTTTGAAACGTTGCATCTTCTGCCTCCAGTCATACCATAAATTATTCCCATTTTTTGGAAAAAAGATCGATGATAGCAAATTCATTCATGAATTGGTTAATGCAAATTGCTGTCTTCCAGGAAACTGGCAAGAGTCCTTGAAAGGCAAAAATGCAGCAATGTGTAAAAGTTGCTTCAACAAATTTGCAAACTTCTCAACTTTCATATCTGTTGCGAAAGAGAACTTATCAGAGATGTTAGTGCGTGATTTAGATGGAACAACTTTCAAGAGACTACATTCTGCACCTACCTCCCCATCTTCATTAGCTGATGATGATACAACAACACCTACATCACCAGTTCCATTAAAATGTGAAAATTTAGGAACAAAAAGTCTCAAAAGAAGGAAACTCATATTTAGTTCTCCAACAGCATCGGTTAATTTCTGTTCAACAGAACACAGCTATTCTACAATGCATAAACCAGGTAACCTGTACGGGTACATACTGAAATATAAAAGTGATAATTACATCTTTATCTTTAGCTTCATATATATTCTTACAGGAAGTATTGGATCTTTTTTATTTATAATTATTAATAAAAGGAGACGTGCGGTATACACCAATAAGACAGCAACCCAAAAATAAAAATTCATCAAAAGACAAATCATGTATATGTCAAAATGGATTGAAAGATTGAGTACATTAATAACAATAATCTTTCAATTGCTGTTTTTTCTCAGAAAGAGGGTGATGATATAAACAAACAAGATAATTAGTATGCCTTTTTGATAATTAGTTTTTCCTTTATTGCTATCAGTTCTCGTTGGTTCATATTTGTAGATCTTGTAATGATGATCATTTTTACTATGCCTAGCTACACTTAATGTGGACTTACTTGAAGATCTTATTTTTCCAACAAATGTTTATACATTTTCTATCTATCTGTAATGATTTCGGCAAAAAATTTAAAAGATTGGGCTTATAAATTGTAAATAAATTTGTCAATCTAGATGCATTTCATAGATATCAAAATGTAACCTCACATAAATTTCAAATCATATTTTACTTGAAGAATTACCTACAAAACCAGAAACCATGATTATCAACAAAACTGAAAGAAAAGAAAAAAATGATTGAAAAAATGGAAGAAGTCAGCAAAGACAAATCCATGCAAGGTCTCCTTGAACAACTAAAAGCAGTTAATCCAGACAGTATTTTATCAAAATCCAGACCTTTGAGTGAACTGCAACAACCAGACAAAGACCTCATGATGGACATGCTTGAAAAATTAGCAGAAAAGTATAAACAAAAGTGCACACGCTGAAATGTCTCGCCTTCTTTACTAATCATTGATATTATGTTGATAGTCCTAAATATAAAGCTTTCTTACAACTGTCACATAAACTTAACATTAACCAAGAAAAATAAACATTGACCAATGAACCATGAAAATGAGGTCAAGGTCAGATGAACCATGCCAGGCAGGCATATGCAGCTAACAATTCTTCCATACAACAAATATAGTTGACCTATTGCTTATAGTTTAAGAAAAACAGACCAACACACAAAAACTTAACACTGAGCAATGAACTGTGAAAATGAGGTCAAGGTCAAATAAAAACTGCACGACTGACATAAAGATCATAAAATATTTCCATACACCAAATATAGTTGACCTATTGCATATAGTATTAGAAAAAAAGACCAAAACTCAAAGTCTTAACTTTGACCACTGAACCATGAAAATGAGGTCAAGGTCAAATGACACCTACCAGCTAGACATGTACACCTTACAATCATTCCATACACCAAATATAGTTGACCTATTGCTTAAAATGTAAGAAAAACAGACCAAAACACAAAAACGTAACATAAGCAATGAACCATGAAAATAAGGTCAAATAAAACCTGCCAGACTGACTTGTACATCATTAAATATTTCCATACACCAAATATAGTTGACCTACTGCATACAGTATTAGGAAAACAGACCAAAACACAAAACTTAAAATTTAGCAACGAACCTTGAAAATGAGGTCAAGGTCAAATAAAACATGCCAGACTGACATGTTCATCGGAAAATATTTCCATACACCAAATATAGTTGACCTACTGCATACAGTATTAGAAAAACAAACCAAAACACAAAAACTTAACATTGAGCAATGAACTGTGAAAATGAGGTCAAGGTCAAATAAAACTTGCCAGACTGACATGAACATCGTACAATATTTCCATACACCAAATACAGTTGACCTATTGCATACAGTATAAGAAAAACAGACCAAAACACAAAAACTAAACTATGACCACTGAACCATGAAAATGAGGTCAAGGTCAGATGACACCTGCCAGTTGGACATGTACCCCTTACTATCATTACATACACCAAATATAGTAGACCTATTGCTTATAGTATCTCAGATATGGACTTGACCACGAAAACTTAACCTTGTTCACTAATCCATGAAATGAGGTCGAGGTCAAGTGAAAACTATCTGACGGGCATGAGGACCTTGCAAGGTACGCACATACCAAATATAGTGATCCTATTACTTATAATAAGAGAGAATTTAACATTCCAAAAAATCTGAACTTTTTTTTCAAGTAGTCGCTGAACCATGAAAATGAGGTCAAGGACATTGGACATGTGACTGACGGAAACTTCGTAACATGAGGCATCTATATACATAGTATGAAGCATCCAGGTCTTCCACCTTCTAAAATATAAAGCTTTTAAGAAATTAGCTAACGCCGCCGCCACCGCCGGATCACTATCCCTATGTCGAGCTTTCTGCGACAAAAGTCGCAGGGTCGACAAAAAAACTTCCATGTATTACAATTATACATAGCTTATATTTTTGATTATTTCATAGAAACAGTTCCTTATTACAGCTCTTATCTAAGCAGTTGCTGAAAATTGTTCTACAAAAATCCTGAGAACTTTTTAATTTCAAAGACATTACTTTTCAATGTCCACTTTTAGTATTGTGCACTTAGTTGTATATGTTATGATGGGCGTATGGGATATGTTATGGAAAGACAGTGGCAACCAAAACCAAATAAAATTTATGAAAAATAAATGGAGAATGTGTGGGACACATCTGATGCCCCAGCTTGCAGATTACGTTATAAATGGGCAAAAGAACAATTTTCAAGTAATTTGGTCAAAGGTCAAAGTCTGGTGTCAACTGGCCTATATTTTTTAAGCAGACATCTGATGCAAAGTAATGGCGCAATACACAAAAGCCCTGTGTACAATATGAACTACATGTAGCACATAACTTAAAGCAATACTTCATCTATTCACAGAGCACCGATTTTGTTTAAAGTACTAGTAGCTGCAACTGGAAAAATTTCGTCCTCAGTTTTAGCTCCAATATCTGCTGTATATGGTATATTGATGTTCCAAAGAAACCATATGTTGTCCGCATGGCAAAGATGCATTTCTGCTGTCTGCTTGAGAGGTCAGCTGGAAGATTCGGTAATAAATACAATTTAAAATAATTAAAACTTAGCATTTCTCTTCAGCCCAACAAGAAAGGTTACAATTGTATAAAGCAAGGACTAGATAAATATTTTTACCTTTTTAAACATTCTAATTGTGAATTCTTGTGTTAAATGTTACCATGCTTGTACTCTTGCTATTAAATGTGAAAATGCATCAAAGTGAATATAAATAGTAACACCTCTAATTCAGGTTTCATAAAGATTAGTAAGTTTCACATAAACCGATAAATTTTTCGGTTAAGATTACTTTTCACCTGCAACTCAAGAAATACAAGAAATCAACCCAATGCATCTTCCATTTGCCTGTAACATAGTATCTTTTGCTTTTTAGGCTTTAGCAAAAATTTCTCAATTTGGGCTTGCACTTTCTCCTACTTCAAAGCTGAGATTGCAGGACGAAGCAGCAACAGCAAGCACGAAATTAATTGTGAACATGCTGTCTTGTAATCCTTTGGCTAAAATAACAGGAGATAATTTAGATGTCTACATCAAAAGAGATATTATTACATCCACGACCAAGAACAAAGATCTACATCTGTTTGCCTCCAATATAATGTTACCAAGAATTGCAAACACTTCTATTTCCAATGAAAAACCAAGTAATCTACCACATATTTCTGCAAAAGATTTAGAAATAACTAGTCAACAAAGAGTTCACCTCGTAAACTCATATAAAGTAAGGGTTGTATTCTATTATGAAATTTTTGTTTACAGTGTCAAAATTTAAATAATTTAACTTCTTCTTTGATTTGTATTATTTTGAAACATAAATTCAACAATAAATGTGGATTGTGTCCATGCATGGACACAGATGATGCCCCCGCTTGCATATCATATAAAGATATAAAGGGACATAACTGAAGAACAGTAAAAGTGACTCTACCTAAATTTGTACTTGATCTGAGTTAATAAGCATTGTGTATAAGTCTCATAACATTCGGTTGAGGTAAACTAAACTTAGAGAACGGTAACAAATAATTCAGCAATTTTTATGTTTATAAAGGGGCATAACTCAAGAACAGTAAAAGTGACACCACCCATTTCTAACTAGATCTGTATTAAGTGGTTATTAGAATTGTGTATAAGTTTTATAACATTTGGTTGAGACAAACTAAAGTTAGAGAACGGAAACCAACTTTGGGACGTACGTACAGACGGACAAGGGTAAAACTTAATGCCCCCTCCGCTACAGCGGGGGCATAAAAAATAATGCTTTATAATTTTACCAGCTGGAATCAATAAATAAACGTGTACTACGTTACAGCAGTTGTATCCTGAACATTTATATACTAGTATACTTGCAACATTATCTTCATCTAAAGTTTTCTAAACTGAAATATGATATTCATAATAAAGTGTGGGATGTATTGAAATTTGGAGATCTCTAAACTGTTATATTATCTTCAATTGTTTTCAAGTATTGTGCAACAGCATTACCTTTCCTATATTCATTTTCTTCGGTTATTTACTATTCTCAACTTTTCAAAAACATTCCTTTTTTTTTCTTCTTGCAAAAGATCTTGCACAGGCACATTTATCATCACAAAACCCCGAGAGACAACAGCTGAACTATTTTATGGCAAACTGAAAATAAAACAAAATTAACATGGTCAACAGCTAATTCATGTAAATGTTTCAATTTTATTTGAAATAGATATTACTTTATGCTTGTTTCAAGCATATTATAAAAAAAAAAACTCTCTCCAATTTTAGGCAATCATTGCCAATATTTTTGCCAAAAATATTGATGGCTGTGGATGGATGAATGATGTTATGCAGATAAAACATAAATATCAAAACTACATGTCAAGAAAAAGCTAGACAGCTCAATTGCCTATCATAGATGCAAATGAATCCAAGCACGAAGACTGTCTAAAGATTATGGATCACTATGAAACAGTCCTCACACAACAGTACAGTGAGGCTCATGGTATTGACAATAATGTTACCATTAATATCCAAATATTCTAATAGTTTTCTTTCAATTTTTAAACAAAGCCATGTTCTTATTATAAATAAAACATTTGGTGCACATGCCCGAGGCCACAATTAAATTAATATGACCAATGGATTACAGTATCTGAGAATCAGAACAAAACACAATAAAATGCTCCTCTGAGCACAGCTTGATACGACCGCAGAGGTCGAACCCTGAACAGTTGGGGCAAGTATGGACAGAACATTCAAGCTTGATACAGCTCTGAATTTGGATGGTGATTAAATATTTGACACAGCATAGGTTTCTGACATAGAATGAATGTGGTCTAAGAACTTAAATTTTTTTAATTTACCTATTATGGTCCAATATCCAAAATCTAAATACATGGTTACATTCAGCATATCAAAGAATCCAAAGAATTCAATTTTTGATGAAATCAAACAAAGTTTAATTTTGGACCCTTTTGTCCTCAATGTGGACCAATTTGATAACAGAGCCCAAAAATCAAAAATCTAAATACATGGTTAGATTCAGCATACCGAAAGAACCCATTTGTTCAATTTTGGTTGAAATCAAACAGAGTTTAATTTGGACCCCAATTTGGACCAACATGAAAACTGGGCCCATAATCAAAAATCTAAATACATGTTTAGATTCAGCATATCAAAGAACCCCAAGAATTCAATTTTTGTTAAAATCAAACTAAGTTAAATTTTGGACCCTTTGGACCTTAATGAAACCAATTTAAAAAACGTGACCCAATATCAAAAATCTAAATACACGGTTAGATTTGGCATATCAAAGAACCCCAATAATTCAATTTTTAATGTAATCAAACAAAGTTTAATTTTTTACCCTTTTGAGCTCAATATGAACCAATTTGATAGCGTGGCCCACAAATAAAAAATCTAAATACATGGTTAGATTCAGCATATCAAAGAACCCCATATATTCAATTTTTGTTGAAATCAAACAAAGTTTAATTTTTGACCCCAATTTTGACCATCTTGAAAACTGGGCCCAAAATCAAAAATCTAAATACATGTTTAGATTCAGCAAAAAAAGAACCCCAAGAATTCAATTTTTGTTAAAATCAAACTACCGGTAAGTTTAATTTTGGACCGAAAAAAAATCCCCCCCCCCCCCAATTTTTAGAACCCCCTTATGATTCATCACCCCCAATCTCCATCCCAGCCTTCCCTTTGTGGTATGGTACCTTGCAGTACAATTTCAGAGAGATCCATACACTTGAACACAAGTTATTGTCTGGAAACTAGAAAAATGCTTGTTTTTTCCCCCTTTTTTGCCCCCAATTCCTAAAAACTTTAGGGCAATTACCCCCAAACTCAACCCCAGCTTTCCCGTTGTGATATGGAACCTTGTAGTACAATTTCAAAAAGATCCATAGACTTACACACAAGTTATTGTCCTGAAAAATGCTTGTTTTTTGCCCCTTTTTGGCCCCTAATTCCTAAAATTTTGTGGCAATTACACCTAAAATCAATCCCAGCCTTCCCTTTGTGGTATGGTACCTTGCAGTACAATTTCAGAGAGATCCATACACTTGAACACAAGTTAGTGTCTGGAAACTAAAAAAATGCTTATTTTTGGCCCCTTATTCCTAATCGTTTTGAGCAATTACCCCCAAACTCAATTCCAGCTTTCACTTTGTGATATGGAACCTTGTAGTACAATTTCAGAAAGATCCATACACTTACACACAAATTATTGTCATGAAACTAGAAAAAAGCTTGTTTTTTGCCCCTTTTTTGGCCCCTAATTCCTAAAATTTTGAGGCAATTACCCCCAAAATCAATCCCACTATTCCCTTTGTGATATGGAACCTTGTGGTACAATGTCAGAGAGATCCATACACTAACATACAAGTTATTGTCTGGAAGTTACAAAAAATGCTTATTTTTCGCCCCTTTTTCCTTAGCTGTTGGTACCATAACCCCAAAATCAATCCGAACCTTCCTTTTGTGGTATTGAACCTTATGGTAAAATTTCATAGAGATCCATTCACTTAAACTAAAGTTATTGTGCGAAAACCAATGTGACGACGACGACGCCAAACCAATAAATTTTTGCGGTCGTATAAAAACTTAATATTGACCGCGGAACCAAAAGGTAAAGGTCATACAAAACCTGCAATGACATTTACATGTTTCAATAAATTGACACAGTTGGTTGCTTGCATAATCCTATAGCTTCCAAAATTGAAAATTCTGGATTCCAATAATCGTACATGTTAAAAAAAAAAGTGAGTGCAGAGCTTTTAATACAGAAGGCATGTAAAAGTATCAGCTACCAAAAAATAAACCAATAAATTACTACTGCAGTGTTAAATGTCATTATCATGGTGATTGAATGAATTCTTTTACCCTGTATGACTAACTAGTTCTATTGCTAGTGTACAACTCCATACTTTGTGCTGTTTGAGACAGATGAATTCAATTAAATTTTTAAATAGCCAAAGAGTTGAAATCTTACCTTTATATGTCCAGTATGATGTCTTTACTTTTGTTTTATACATCTTCTGAAAATATACTAGTCTTATAAAAAAAGCTTTAATTCATATTATGTTAAATTCCCTTTGAATTTTTTTGTCATAAATTAGGCTGTTAGTTTTTTCAATTGAATTGTTTCATATTTTTTATGTCGGAGCCTTTCATAGCCACCTATACAGTATGGGTTTTCTCATTGTCAAAGGTTGTACTGTTGCCTATAATTGCTTGCCATCCACTTCATTTGAACTTCGATGGATAGTTGTTTCCTTGGCAATCATACCACATCTCTTGATTTTTATATATCAATGCCACATTGATGCTTTGTATGGGACATCATTGCTTTAAATTTTTGAGTATTCTGTCCTGTCCTGAATCTTCAGTATTAGTCAGTAGGATAACAAGGAAAATGCACAAGCTACCAATAAACTTTTCTTAAAATGAACAAAACAGAATTTTACATTACAAATTTTTGCAGGTTCAGATGAAAAGTTGAGACAGTTCAAGGTAGTAACAGGAGGAGATCAATTGACTAGGAGTCGGCTTAATGAGTCAAAAGCCTTAAGAAGCTTGTCTCCAAATTATAAGAAGCGCTTTGATGATGTTGATCCGATTGTTGTTGAACTCTGGCATGTAAAGCAAGATTTGCTTGAGGTATTATCCAGTAACCAAATAGAAAAAAAATATTATCAATACTACATGCAGCAATGCTAAAATTCAAATGCTACTTAAAACTTGGTCAAATCTTTTTAAATTTCAAGTCAGTAAATGCAATAGTAGAAACTAGATATCATTGAGATGGGAGCCATCTCTGAGGGCCCCGCTGTGAATAATGTGTGGTAAAAAATTTGTATCATTATCATTGGACATGGGGTTGTCAACTGAAACCAAAGTTTTTGACCTTGACCTTTGACATAGGAAGTTGTACATAAATTATGACACACCCTCTGGTGTTGGTTTATGTACATGTCAAGTATAAATTTTGAAATCATAACGGTTCTCAAGATATAGAGTGGACACAATCTTTACCATAGGACATGGGGTTGTCAACTAAAACCAAAGTTTTTGACCTAGGAAGTTGTACATACATTATGACACACCCTCTGGTGTTCGTTAATATACATGTCAAGTATAAACTTTGAAATCATAACGGTTCTCTAGATATCTAGAGAAGACACATTTTGTTATGGGCGGACGGACAGAGTGATCACTATACATGCTATAGGGCATCTGCCATTCAGCGGGGCCCTAATTAAAGTGGCATACTTAAACTCAAAGAACCTTGACTGAAGGTGCAGGGCCAAATAATTTCTGTGCAAATGAGAATAAACAATGCTTTATATACAACTACATACCAAATAAATGTGACTTACTATTAATGCACTTGGTCTTTTTAAGATTGTATTTTCAAAATCAATGAACTGTGATGAAGAGATGGGACTATATCATCTTAAGGAAATGTGCCATACAAATGCCATTACAACTGCATACTAAATATCAATGACCTACAAGTATGGGTTCCAATATCATTTATCCAATCACACATAAACTAAAGAAATGTTTCAAAGTCAATAGAACATGACTGAGTGGCCAGAGGCAAATAATTGCTATAAAAATGTGTTGTGCAAATGCTCATTAAACTGCATACCAAATATTTTTGACCTACCACAAGTGGTTACATTGAAAAAGTTAAAACTATCAAGGGAAGGCATTTGAAAAATAGGGTTATCATTTTTAAAGCCAATTCATGAATTTCTCTTTCATTTAACTCACTCGTTACTCAATATTCACCCATAAAATGAGTTCATTACAGACTTTCCTGGGTCCATGTTCATTATTATAGAACAGACCAAACAAAATAAAACTTTTATATTTTTCTTTTATTTAAACTTCAGAAATTCTACAAAGCCATGTTTGATACAGGAAATGTCAGAACAGCGGGCAGTTTAGCCTATTTCAAATCCAAACTGCAAAGAACAGATGTGTCAGGGAAAGTAAAATGTCACTTCAAATCCCACATGGCTTTTCTGTCATTAATTGGTGAAGCCGTTATCACAGAACAAGGCAGACAATTTTTGAGCGATTTAGAAGTTGAAGTAGAGGATAATGATGACAAATTTGAAGCTTTAAATGAAATTTTAGATTTGTTTGTTTCAAAATTTAATTATGTACCTTCTATTAATGATAATGCTTTGTTATGCCAAGAAAAAGATGAAATGTTTAACTATTTTAATAATTTGGCCCAGTGGTTTTTACACATAGAGGTACTGAACAAAACAGCTAAGGATGGTGACATAACCAGTATTATACCTAATTTGTTAATATCTTTGCCTTTTTTTTGATCATCATTCTACTTTAAGTAAATATCTGGTTGAATGTATTAATTACATTATTCATGTAGAGTATTCACTGTCACCACTCATGAAACTGTGTGTTCTTGAAGGATCTTTTGTGAATGTTAAAGGGGGAAGGTCAAACAATGTAGAAAGTGATCTACTTCAAGAACACGCAGTTAGAAATCAGAAGGCATTAATAAAACAGCTTGGTGCTAATAAGACACAAAAGGCAATAGAAAGAGCATCTGCAGCTGCTGGAGCCATTGCTGCTATCAATGACAACATTGCCATGTCTTTAGAAATTACACCAAAGTCATCAAGGCATACAAAAACAATTTCTCTAGGAGAAAGGCAGGTTGTGTTTGATGTCTTGGAAGACTTGAAACCTTTCAAGTTCACACCAGGAAGGAAGTTCGAAGGATTTGGAAAGCTTGGAGAAAATGTTTTTGCATGCATTGATGGCAATAAAATGAAAGTTGACCTTGACATTATTGTCAATCGGCTTCTTTCGGGCCATGTAAACATTGGCAATGATGACAATGACAGCAGCATTGACTCCGACAGTGATGATGATGAATTGCCTGACTTGTAATTGTTTTATATTTTTAACTATATTAATTCATACTCACTCTTTATCCCGAATCTTTTATGAACTTTTATCGTTTAATACCTGATAAAACTTAAGAATTCTTCATATAATATCAGTGATATATATATATTAACTTCCGGGTACATAGTGTTATCATATTATGCTAATTATGCCTTTTGTTGCCTAATTTTTCATCTCATCCGAACCATCTGTGCTTCATTCCTATTAAGCTTGGTAAAATTTGAGAGCATATTGAAATGGGAATATTCAGAGATTTGTAACAGGTTCTTGATGTCATCATTTTTTTCCAACTTTATCACATGTAGGTCTCCTAATCATCAATCCTGTTATGTTTCCAATCATTTAGCTGTGTGCCAGAAGTTTCAGAGAACATTTTAGAAATGTTACCACTCACAATTAAAATGACCCAAAAAGCTTAAAATGAATTGTATGGACACATTATCTATTGTTGAAAACTCCATGTGACATTTTCTTTTTTAAATAAGGAGATGTCATGTGGTATGATACCCAATGAGACACCTTTCAAAAAGAGTTCACATTATGTGGATCCAAACCATTAAATTAATTGGAAATGACTCATCAAATTGGCATGAAGCACAAAAAACAACTGACATATAAGACAAAGGACACAAAGGACCATGTAATATTTTAAGATTAAATAAGAAACACTTATCACAATATCCAGAGTTTATTTATGTGTCAATCCTTCAAACCTAATCACAAATTGTAGTAAGTAATATTGGCAAGTAAATATTCTAATTTGACTTGTATAATCTATTACCTTGTAAATAACAGTTTCTTTTTCAAAGTAAAAAACTGGCATTTATAAATCAAAATTTCTTTAATTACTATTTTTCAGCAGGTTAATTTTTGATTCAGACATTGTTATTAGGGGCACTGGACGTTTGCGCTTTTTTACATGTTACACGATAGGACATTTGCGCTTTAAATTTTGATACACGGGTATCAAGTTAACCGAACATTTGCACTTTTTACCTATAGTCGTCTTCCTGGAATTTTAATGAGTTGTAATCATTACGTAAATAAATTTAAATTATATTTGTGGTTAGTTAGTTCACATTGACACAGTCTTAAACATAAGAGCTATATAAAGTTATTGACTAGTAAAGGAAAAAAAATGCATATGTCACGATGGATTCTTATCATTGAACAACAGTTGGTTAATTACAGTAAAATTCGTTACATTGATGAACAGGGACCTAAATCAAGATTTGAGAAAGAGAAACTAGAATATTTTTTGGAAACGTGGGCTAAATACCAGTCAAGACAGATTACAAGAGCTATATTCATTCATACCCTAAGCTTCAGATTTCAAGCGAAAACTGACCTGTGATGACTATATGTGTCTTTATGTCTTTAGAATATTTACTTTTAACTATATATAACTATATTCAAATTGATGTGCTCTGAAATTACTTTTAAACAAGAATGTGCAATGAAATGACTATCAAATTTTAACCTTAATGAAAACTATGACTTTAACTGTGCCAGGTCAAACCTACCGGTCCTAAGCACGGATAAAATAGGAGGGATGTCATAAGCAAATATTGTAAAAGCGCAAATGTCCTATATAAAAACCTTAAATGTCCTATAAATTGAAGCGCAAACGTCCTGCACAGATTATTAGATATGAAATATGGAAAATCCAACCCAACATACTTTTTTTTTTTTTCAAATAAAGTTACTTTACATTTTTCCAATTCAAGCTTAGATGTACTGTCAAGGTTAAAATACACTTTTTAAACAATGTTACAGAATAAACTTAATTCTAGTACTGTAACAGGTAAAATCAGGTCATATTTTTCTCTTTGTTTTTACCTGTCCAACAACATCTCTATAATTATGAGTCTAGTGGACTGATTTAAAATTCAATTAAGTGCAAAATCCATGGAAAATGAAATTGTCATTTGTTGGTTCTATTCAAAATATGATCTTCAAGGGAAGGTCTTTTTTTTATTTAACATGTTTAACAATGTTTAAGTAGAGTTAATGTTAAAATTATCATGATGAATGAACATTTTTGGTTTTAACAAAATTCTTGATTTTTTTACTTCTGAAGAATTTAAAAATGTCAAAAATATTACTTTGATTGAAATTTGTACAAATGAAATGTGAAAAACAGCATATAAAATTTAATACCCATTTGCTGAGAGCTGTAGTAATGACTATGAATGTACTGATGAAAATATAAAAACACTTCAAAAATAAAAATAATCTACAATTATTTTCAAAGAAAGTTATGATAAATATTGATTGCAAGTTTTACTGAAATGTTCCTGTATTTTTTCGTTAAAATTGCAACTGATCCTTATTTTAATTCCTATTCTTTATATAAAAAAGACTTGAATAAGTTGCATCCCACTGTTGCAAGTATAATATAATATCATGTATGTCATTGAAAAATTTATACTGGTTATTTTCTCCAACAATATGCAAGGTCAAAAACATAAATACATGTATAATGATTATTGATACAAGACATTTTAAATTATTATAAATTTAAGCTTGCTATTTTACAAATCTCACAAGCACAGGTTTTCTTACAAAAGCTGCAACATGCACAACCCAGTAATGAATCAGACTTAAAATAACCAAATACAGATAGTAAATTTTCTATAAGACAAGACTCAGAATTGCAGTAAGAAATTATGTCATCTGAAATTCCAGGCAAATTTTTGGCAATATCTCTTTTATTGTAGTACAAGATAGCTTCAGAAGCCTGTCCTCGCCTTCCTGCTCTACCAATTTCTTGGAGATACTGGGAAAGAGATCTAGGGGGACTGGCATGAATCACTCTTGTAATACATGTAGGATCAAATCCCATCCCCTTAACAGAAGTGGTTAAAATTAACCTTATACGGGGATTTTCTGTATTTAGATCCTTTAATGTAGCCTGTATGACTTCATCATCCTGATTTGCAAAAATTGCAGAATAACAGGATTCAGTAATTTTGTTTTCTCCAAACAGTGACTTTAAAAAAAGAAGGGCACAACTCATGTAGAACATGGGGATAAAAAATAATGTAACAGGATAACTGGTGGGATTTTTCTGCAATTCTATACATTCTGTTTTAAAAATATTTTCATAAACACTTATAACATCCTTTGACACAATTTTTTCTTTTTTCTGAAGAAAAATGTTTTCTTTATCAGGAGAAATACATATAATGGTAGTGTTTT